ATTCCCAGCCTTCTGCAGTACTCCTCATGATTCAAAAATGACATTGCCCTTGAGTAATAGCTTAGTACACGCAAGCAGCACAGCAACAGCATAGCACAATCCCTCTTATTTTAAATATTGTCATTTGTGTGGTACACAAATTTGGAAAAGGCACATGGTGGGGAGGGGGACACACAAAAATTCTGAAATCTAAACCACTGTGCTGAAAAAATAAGTGTCCTGCAGAGCCTATACTTTGGAGAGTCACCGGCTATAGTCTGACCGTACTAGCAGTTCACAGAGAACACAGTTAATGCTGATCTGGTGAGGAACCACCTGTCTGGTGTGGACTTTCGGGTGAATATATGTTGAAATTACAACCAAATCAAATTTAAAAGGAGAAGGTAATGTACATTTTTTAATGAAATACTGTTCACTAGGAAATGTAACTGCACAGTAACAAAAATCAGCACACAGAGAACAGGGAAGGAAACAGGTTGGCTCTGAAGTTATTTAACAGTACGATTTATAGCTCAAAGGCCTCAAAATCTCAAACTATTTCCATATTTCCACATAATTTCAGTCGTGCTTAGAAAAGAGGACCCTTCTACCTACAGGTCTAGCAAAGATTAAAACCAATACATACACATATATATATACACAGATATGTATGTATTTCCAGCTAAAGCTCTGTTTCTAAAATAAAAACTTGAGTGGGCACATTAAACCTTCTGAGATCCACATTTAAAAACAAGCTAATGAGCAATCATTTTATTTAGTTTTTGAAAACATAGTGAATGATTTAAATAAAACATTAAAACAGAGATCCTTATGAGTTAGTTATTCCTGTTTAAAACAAATGCAAGTAACAAATCTGAAAATGTAATAGAGATGGAAGAACTGAATTTAGCTTAACCTGCATGTCCCAATTGGAGTAACTGCAGTTTTGCAAGATTTTACTGTAGCAGTATCACTATTGTATTTTGACCTCTCAAATATTACTCTTTTTTTTTTTTAACGTATGAGAAAGCACGTGGGGAAGAATGAAAAAAGATCCAAGCTATACAACTTTTAGTATAACAATTAATTTGAACGCATTACATAAATTACATTTTCTAAAGAATGTGAACTTTGCTCTATTTCAAGAAGATTTTTCTTCCAAAATGGAATACAAAAGAAGCATAAAAAAAAATAAGCATTAGTCACCTGGTACTGCAGGTGACTTCTGGAACAGGTACAGAACTCTGGGAAAATTAAGAACAAGAAATATTCTGTCCAAATAGCTTATCCGCCAAGAAGAAAATGATGCTTCACATTTTGCAAATTGATAAAGCTTCAATGATACTAAAGCTGATACAATCCTTTTACGTTTGGAAAACAGAGAAGGGGGAAAAAAAAAAAAGAAACTTTGAAGAAAGTTCCCGAGGACAATTCCTTCAAAGTGACTCTTCCTTCAGGGGGGCAAAGACAGAAGTTTCTATAGGATCTAACATATACATCACTCGTATGGTCAAAACTTCTTGAAGGCAAATTAGGGGAGAAGAAAAAAGGGGAAGCAAGAGCATCTGATAGCAATAATAATAGCACAAATAAGACTTCACGTACCTTACAGATACAATACAAAGTCTACATACTTTTTTCTCAAGAGTTTAAAGGAAAGAATCTTCCACATATCTAGCTGATACTGAAGTCAGTGTCATGCTAAAAGAAATAACTTAATACCCATATACACGCAGAAAAATTCTAAGGCAGAAAAGTAAAAGTTCTAGCAAACTAGAAGTGCGGAAAAGTACCGCTGATTTATTTTAACCTTTAAAAAACAAATTTATTACAAGAAAAAAGCCTAATAAAGTAATGAAATACTGGAGTATGAAACAGTTTAGTTAGATGCTCATCTGAAACTCCATTTCACGTTGTACATGCCATAGATGATAAAGGTACTGCCAGAAGTACCACCAAAGATAATAAAAGCCTCCCCAAACCATAGCTGATCTTTTAGTCTACAGCATTTGTTTCATCATGTAGCAGGATACAGTAACTTGCTGATCAGTGCTACAGTACTGGATTTTTTGTGTATATATAGATTATACATAAGTAACTTACATACGTCTCATTATCTTGAATATGAATGTTAAAGAGATGGCACATACTTTGCCTCATAGAAGCATCAAGTGATACACTTCTTTCTGAATCCCAAAACATCCATCTTTCAGCTTAGTCTCCCTCCTAGTATGCTGTCTAGGATTTAGAACGCTTTCTTCTTTTTCTTGAGTTTTACAGACAAAGTAAACAAGTTTCAAAGCTGTTAACAAGGTACCGTGAGTTAGTCAAGTAACAAACATAAAGGCTGCGTTAGCACACCTAAGAAATCAGGGAATTCATTACACAGATCAGGATGTAAGGCTGAGTTGTCGTAACTTCATAAATAGCAGATTTAAGACATTACTAAGAAGATAAGTAGAATTGTGCTTTTGTCTATTACAACGATAAAGTTATTTTCTTCTTCAGCCATTAATCATCACAGGAAGAAAAACATTACTTTGGGCATTAGCTATTGAAGGGCTGGTGGCACCCCTTCACCAGGTGGAAACAATTGCTTATGGGTACATGACCCACATCACAGAGGATATGGCTAGTTTCCAGCTGAGTGAATAAAATTAAAATCGCATCCCTTAACTTTTTCATTTGTTCCTATATGGAAGAATACTTTTATCAATTCTTCATGCACATTCACTGTTTTGCATCTGTATTGTTTCTACAGGGAGTTCTATCTCATGTGGCTGATCCTCTGTAGCCGTATGTTTGGGTTAATACCTAGACTGTAGTCTTCAATTGCACTAGCCTGATTACGTTGTACAAACAGTGCATCCCTTACAATGACTATGCCCTTGAAGAAGAACCAAAAGACTGATAAAAGGGGAACATCCTGCCCTAGAAGGTGCCAGAGGCTGGATGATTGCCAAAGAAACAAGAAGTCAGCAAAAAACTGCAGTAACTAGGGGAAAGGTAAAAGCGGCAGGGGGAGATCGCAACCACCAATTCAGTTCAGGACTGGAAAGACTTGCCCCCGCACATACCTGCAAGTAGCATGCATGCTAATTTACATGGCAAGCGAGGCTAATTTGAACATAACTAACCAATGAGCATGAACTTAGGCGGGTTTTTGCTAATCATGTAACAATATAAATACGCTGTAGTTCTTTTGTGCGGTGTGCTAGCTTTGTGGAATTGCCACCTGGCACCCACCTTTGCATAAACATGAGATAAATAGGTATCTCGGCTCTCTGTGTAAGATTGGCTTATTGCACACCGGGTACCGGACCCCACTTGTGGGACAACACCTCTGCTGAAGAAGCTCTAGTAAGAGTACAGAAATTAAGAGCACCAACCATGGACTTTAAAGCTTGCTTATCAAGGAGTTACAAAGAGCACACAATACATGCATAAACTTTGTACTATTATGTCCAACAAACCACTTACTATGACGTATGAAAGCTAACTTTTAACGGTGACTATCTAAAAAAAATTTAGAACTGCACATGCTGCAAAAAATAACTTACATAAACTTTATAACATAAAAATAACATATAAAAATAAGATGACTTATTATTATGAGTTTTAAAAATTAAGGCTAGGTTAAGTTTTTCTATCCATGATTACATGAAATACAGCAGTTAGATGTGCCATTACTGGGACTGACAGGACCCAGTCACAATTTCTCTCATCTTCTTCACTCATACCAGAAATATATGGCACTATGGTAATACATGGATTTAGGAATATATTATGTTTTCTTAAAGCACCAGGAGCAAAAGCTGTCCAGTTCTTCTGGTTTTGAAGATATGTGGTGTTGAAGAAATTTGAAGATATGAATCCTCCTAACTCAAAAATTCCAGAGTCAAGTAAAAAGAAACTCCAATATTTTATGTTTTCAAGTAACAAGGATTTTAAAAGAACAGTGTTCTTATTCTCTGAAACTTCAAGGCCGACATCAGGACTTTAGACTACCTGGTGCTGGACTAAGGTTTGCCACTTGGTAACAATTTTTGTAAACCAAGCACAAAGCTTGCTAAGTACTCACCAGAGGCAAACACATGGGAACAACAGTCCCAAGTTCATTTCTCTAGGACCGGTATAGCCTCGATTTCCTCAAGCTTTTCTTAGGCTAACAGCACACGTTTTTATTGAAACTATCATTCCAGCTTCCCCGCTAACTATTCTCCCCTGCCACGACATCTCATTTGCTCCACTTTTCTCACAAGTGACTTGCACATTCTATCACTACCTGGTTTTGCCTTCCCCCAGCACGGTGAAGCAAAGCTACAGATCAGTTTGATCGCTTTTGGTAACCATGAAGTTTCCCGCCTGAAAGACAAAATGGCTCTTTGCTCTTTAACCTGTCCAGCAAGTTGGCCCAATTGGCAGCAGCACTCGGGTAACGGCTGGCGATTTCCACCAGCGGCCGCCCCCCCCCCCCCCCCCCCCCCCGCCCCCCCC